GACTACCCCAGCAGGTAAGAGGTGTGTGTGGCTGCTGGCGACACTTCCCACGGGACTGGCCAGTGCTGGAGGATTCCGATCTGCCGGTAATACAGTTTCAGTACTAACCTCGGTAAGACTAGAAAAACCTAGAGATCTAGATCTCCTTAAATTTAAAGTTTACACCAGGGGAAAAAAAAAAATAAAATGACAGAACTGTAAAAAACCCTGGCTAACTAAAGCAACGTTAGAATGACAAACCCCACCGGGTCTCCAAAGGGCTGCGGGAAGCGAGAGCCCCGGCAGCTACGCAGGGATCGCTGCATCCTCCCCACCTCGGGGGAAGCAGCAGCGCGGGGGTCTCGCCGCGGCTTCCGTGGGCTGCAGCGCTGCACGTTACAGCCAGCCACCGCCGTGCTCCCTGCGCCCACACCCCACCCCTCAGAATGCAACAGAACCGAACAACTCGGGCGTGAAAGGTCCGGTTTAGCTTTCGGCAGCGGGTGTAACGCCAACACCACGTGTTTCAACTGCTGACACTGGCTCCTGTCAACTTCTGTCACGCTACCGAACATTTTAGGAAACAGACCTTGGTTGGCAAAGCAGCAATCTGGAGTCGAGTTCCAACTACTTCCAGTCTCTCCTCTGAGCAACGAGGCCCTCCCTGCGTACCACACGGTTTCTCGCAAATGATGCCAGCAATTCCCCTGTCCTACACTATCCAAAAGCATCACCAGAAAGCACAAACTATGAAAGGCTGGAAAACATCCCAAAGTTCCGTAACAAACCTTCTGTTGCAAGGAATCTACTTCTCTGGAACAACTCGATAAGACTTCAGTACTGACTGCATCCGCAGAGTCATGATAGTTTGCCTAAAATTACAGAAGAAAACCACGTATTTTTAGAATCAAAGAATTTGATCGATGTGCCATGTTACACTTTATAGTCAGATCACTTTAAAACGAGCAAAGGAGCTAAAACCTGAGTGTTGGTCTTTGCTGTCAGTACTCTCCCAACAATAACTCCAGCTGCCTCCCTGCTGTTATTTTAGGCTCCAAACGGACAACTGCTTTAGGTCCGTGTAAATGCACACTGCCTTCAAAAGGCGAGGTCTTGCCCTGTCCTCCCCCACCTGCCCTTTCCCCTCCTGGGTGCTGCTCCTCCCCCACCTGCCCTTTCGCCCCCTGAGTGCTGCTGAGCCACCCAGTGTGTCAGATGAGGTAATCGGACTGGCTAAAACCCGACTCAGCAAGGAAAGGGGCAGTTTTCAGCTAGAACAATTCCCTGCAGCTGGCCACGCAGCCAGCCGGCCTGAATGTAAGCACTGAACCCCATTCCAGGTTACTCGCCTCTCCTGTCATCTCCCCTCTTCACTTGGGAACCTCTTTTCTATTTTTTCTGTTCATTGCTCAGACTTCGCAGTGCTCCTCCTACACAACCAGGTGGGCAAAAGCCTCCACAAGGAAGTGCAACATCACAGGAATCAGTGAACTCCTGCTGATACGACGTTTGGTTTTGAGGACTAGAGTGGCTCACATGGCTGGCCTGCCTGCCTAAAATCTCTCACTGCAGAGCACAAAAGAAATCCTGAAAAGATGGATTGACACAAAGCAGTCAATTTTCTCCTTTAAGATGCAGTTCTATTTTCAGGGGAGCAGTGGTAAAACTCCTAATGTTTTTTTTTTATGAAAGCCAAAGCAATTTGGCACCAAGTTGAAAGACTCCACAGCTTGCAGCTGAACCTGAGGGTTGCTAATGACTACCAGGTGGGCTTGGGGCAGGTAGAGGCTGAGGAGGAACCCTGCGGAGAGAAATAACGCAGTGTGCGTTTTCTAAGTTTCAGAAAATTACGTTCTGAAGCATCAGAATGGCATTATTCAAGACTGCAAAACCAAAGCTGAAAGCTGAAGGATGGCAAAACCCAAGGGTGCCCTACAACCAACGACAGTTTACAGTGCCAAGCGTGCACGTGCGCCCTGCATAGACAATACACATCTCATCACGTACGCAGAGCCCGCCCCTCATCCAGGGCAACCGAGATGATCCACCCCATTAAAACTAGCTTTTTGTACTTCACCTTCTCCTCAATGTTCATGAAATACCAACAGCAAAGCGCTCAATCCCTGTCCTGATCCTCCTCCTGAAAACTGCTGCCCAGCGTTACAAAACACCACTGAGTTTCATAATGCTCTCAGAATAAAGGGGGTTTATTCCCATATTGCTGGGGAACTGGGTAATTCACTTATAATCAGCAACCCGAATTCCCCCAACTTTTATCAGCAAGGAACTTAATTTTCAAGATATTTAACACTAGAGAAACTAGCAAGAGCTGCTTAATGCAGTACTTCTCAGGTAAGTAACCTGTGGAGCCACAACCTGCAGGAATCAACCACCACCCGTGACCAGACGAAAAGCACGGTTCTTGTGACTCGGCCAGTGCATAACAGGAACTCGCCAGCAAAAGGCCCCAAGCTGATTATCTACAGTAACACAGATCACCAATGTTTCCCCTGCAATTTCAGCACACACTTCTGTGTATAGGTTCAGATGTAACCTTCTAAGACCTTAAGAAGATGCTAACTCTGTTGTTCTCTAATGTCACGATTTAAGAGCAATCTTTCAACAGTGCATGGCTGAAGGACTGCTTGGGAGAGACACGTACTCGTGCACCCTTTCCTTTTCTACCTTGTAAGGCCTTCGCATTGTTCCTGACGCTGCATCGTAATTGAGCATGTCCGTGGGGTCAATCCATTCATCGTCTTGAACTTTACCACTCCCCGTTAGCACAACTGCACATAACACCACAGGAAACAGCATCCTGTATCGCTAAATGCAACAAGAAATTCAGGTATTTAGTTCAGGATGTACAAAAAAATGGAAACAATCTTATGGTGAGATGGGAAAGTAGAAAATATCTGAAAATATTCTTTTTTAAATGTGTGATATGCTTTAGTCTCTTCAATATTAGCTAGCTAGCCTTGTCTTTGGTATTGCCTAATCAGGAGGAACAAGAGTGTAACCCCCTGCCCTTGACAGGGCTTAAGTAGGGTCTTTATCACTTGAAGGCCTGCTTCATTGTTTGAGGTAAGATAAGGATGAAGGAGGAATTGTCTTTGCCCACAAACCGTGACTACGGAGGGGGATGTTGCCCAACTGGCCTTGAGCTGTGGTCATGGGGGAGACACTGCCCAGCTGTCCCTGAACTGTGCATGCTCTGGAGGATGGGTTCAAAAGGACAATCATGATGAAGACTATCGAAGAACTCTTACTTCCTCCCCAAGATCACCAAGAGACCCCCGAAGGGGAAGACTGCGCCTGTGCAAGGGGAGGAGATCTAATTTACATCCGAAGCGGGACAGAGCGATGAAAATGTACTAGGCAATGAAGCAATCTTGTGAATATGTAAGTTTTGCTGCTTTAAATAGGACGCAATTACCGCGGCTCGGGGTGCAAAGCATCCTTAGGGCACCTGACCCTCGCTGCACCCAGCGCTGCAGAGCTGTAATAAACATACCTGCCTCACAACCAACTTTGCGGAGTTCTTTCACAGATCAACGGCATGAAAAAAGTATCCTCTGGTGTTGTTTAAAAACTCAGTTCTCCATCCAGCAGGTTAAACTTACATAATTTTTTTCCCGAAGAAAACACTGTGAAGAACACACAGCAACAAACCGTATGACGTGACTGGGTCAGTACAACCGGCTGCAGCCATCGGCAGGTGCAGCGCGGAATTCAGCCCTGCTGGAACCGGTGAAGCAGCGCGGAACTCCCCCGGCCTGAGACGAGGGTCCAGCCCCGTCCCCGCTCCAGAGATCCCCGGGCACGTCCT